CTCAATAATTTATCTCCTTATTGCAATTATAACTAAATACACAACAGGTTATTTTTAAAACTTTTAGATAATTTTAAGTACTCTATCTTTTCTATTTGGATTTCTAATGAAGAACTGGAACTAAAGAAATTCAAAAAACAGTTCCAGACCTGGAACCGATTCCAGAGAAATTTTGTAACTTTTCCATCACTGATTAGGACCACATTTATTCCTCAAAAAGACACAAAATGGTTAGGCCCTTTTCTTCCTCGATTTGAAGATTCCCCATGGAATTAAATGCTCAATAATTGGTTATTGAAGGATGCCAATTATTCAACTCAAATTTTAAAATATTTCCTTCTAAATTAAAAAAAATTTTTAAATTGAATTCTCAGATTTGGATATTCCAATAATGAAAAAACTTTATCGTTCTCTGTCTTTAATAGTTTTTCTTAATATTGGCTTGTTATTAATTTACTACACAATAACATTAATTATTGCTGGAGACTCTTTAAAAAAGCATGAAATTATGAGTGTTAATTCTTGGTTTGTTTTATCGTATTTTGGTGTTGTTTATTTAATTGGTTTAGCTGCAAATGCTCCAATTTTATTCATTAATAGGTAAAATTTTACACCAAAAATTTGAAAAAGGAAATATCCAATGAAATTTTTATCTAATGAATTCTGTATCCATTGAAATTTTTTGTACGAGTTTTTGCGGTCGCTGACCCCTGAAGACTTTCCTACATAAAACTTTAAAAAAATACATGGCGTACAATGCCTAATAAATCCAAGATAATTTTATTTTAAAGTTCTGACTACAGAGAAGCTTACTTAAAAGAATTTAATTTAATTAAAACATTATTCAAAAAAATATTTAATAAAACCTCATCTCCAATACCTATTGTTCGAAGAATTATCAATAACAATCAGGCAAACCAAATTACTCCAATTTTTGGATAACTCAAGAAATTCAAAAAACAATATTTGATGACAAATAACATTTTACATGTTTTAATTCATAATAAAATTTAAAAAGATTGGTAAAAAAAGTTTTTGAGAATATTTGAGAAATGAAACAAAATTAAAATATAAAAATTTCAAATAGAGGTCAGTAAAATCCCATTCACGGAATCACGTAACGGGATTTCTTCAAAATTTTGTACGTGACAGGATCCCGCGGGACTAATCCCGTAAAATCCCGTACGTGATCCTATTCCGTGCTGACCTCTAGTTTCAATAATTTAAAAAAGAGTTTACCATAGAAAGTTATTTATATAAAATGTTTGTCCTCTAAAAATTTTCAAACTAATATTTTGTATAAATTGATATGTCTTGTCAAAACTTTTGAGAGAATATAAAAATATAGTACCTAATCGGATTCACGGAATCACATAACGGGTTATCTTGTTAATTCTCATTATTTCGATTCTGGGACCTATAAAAGTTTTGATACAACTGTATCAAAGATATGTACATATATGTATTATATCACGTAAAAAATATGTATAATTCACTAAATTTGAATTTTTCAAAAAATAAAAACAATTTGATAAATAACATAATCATACATATGATATAAAAATAAAATATAAAAATATATTTTGATAAAAATGATGGTCATTGAACATTTATTTTTTAAAATTGTTTTTGTTTGAATAATATAATCTTAAAATCTTAATTCAAAAATAGTACCTAAACAGTTTTTAAATTTCAAAAACAAAAGGATTAAAATCTAAATTTTAAAAACAAGGGTTATTTTCAAATTTAGAAAGTGTACATAGTAATTCACTAAAATGATATCATACAAGTTTAATTTTAAAAAATTTATTAGAAAATATGTTTAATTAAAAACAATATGTAAATTTTGTTTTTAATTTATAAATCCAAGGAATAACACAATAACAAAATTTTGATATAAAATGAGCAAAAATATCTAACCGAACAAAAAATCCTTCAATTAAAACCAAATTTAATAAAAAATAAAATTTAATGTCCTTCAACAAATATTTAAAAATAATTATTTTAATTTTTGCATCAATTGTTGCCCTCAGTATTGCAACTTTTTCTCCAGCACCTAATATTAACGAATGCAATATCGAAATAATTTTGGATTGTGTTCCTTCCGTGGATGTTTCTGCTGATGTTGATTTGGGTATTGTTGATATTTCAGCTGAACTTGGCAAATCCTCTGAACTTCTCTCTGCTGAAGTCAACGTTGGCTCTGTTGTGAATGTCTCCGCTGAACTTTTTTCAAAATCATCTGAACTTCTCTCAGCTGAAGTCAACGTTGGATCTGTTGCGAATGTTTCAGTTGAAATTGGCTCTAATTCCAATCAAAATTCTTCTGAAAATAAATCCAAAAAATCTTCTGAGAAAGAATTATTATCAGTTGAGGGAAAATTGAAATCCTCGGAAGCAGAATTATCAGTTGAGCTACTAAACTTAAAATCTGCAAAAGTCTCAAATGAATTTTTGTTATGCAAAAAGCTAAAGCACAAAAAAGGGAAACATCCCCACAATCATCATAACCACAAAGCAACCAAAAACCCCAAAAAACCAAAGAAAGGCAAAACTACAACTGCTAAACCAAGAAAGCACACATCAGTTACCAAAAATCCACGTCCTTGCCGAGCTATTCTAATATTAGAGCTTATAAGAATTAAAATTTTGCGGTTGAATGTTCACCAACAGGTAATTTGTAGATTTAAAAAAATTTTTTGATATTTTAATTTAAGGCATTGTTCGATGTTTGCATAAACGAGATTGAGGCGATTCTTTTGGATGTTAAATTAAGTATAGAAGTTAAAGTAATAAAGATTGCTTTCAAACTCAAGTTATTCTTCTTAAATAACCCTGACATTGAACTTTTAATTTGTTTGGAAGAAATTAAAGGATTTGGACGAGTTTTTGAATTTATCCTTCTTGGATTAAAATTCAATCTTGCCAACTTAGAAGCTGTAATAGAACCATTAGATATCGAAGGCAACTCACATTTAACTATTGCCTTGGAAAATGCAATAGCCAACAACTCCTGTGAAATTGATGTAGACGTACAAATTAAACTCTTCATTAAATTCTTCAAAAGAATATGTTTTAAATTGGATGATGACTGGAAAATTGAACGTAAACATGCATACATAGCAATTGTTCTAAGAAGCTTTTTATCTAATAAAAATGATTCGTGCTTGTTGGATGCTATATTGAAAGCAAAGATTAATGGCGTTTTATCAGTTCAAGAGTACTTGGTATTTTGTGATTTGGTGAGTTTTACTTGGGATATTGGACTTAAAAATGGAGAATGTTGAAAAAATTTCCTATTTAACCTTCAACCATTTTTTGTATAAATCCAGTCTTTGGATCAAATCAACCCAATCAAAGGGATTCTGGTTTTATATCTTATTAGAGAACTTAGGATATCGGTCTTCCTATCGATATTAGTAGGGTTGTTCCCCCTACCCCTCCCCTCCCCTCCCCTCCCCGCCCCCCCCCTCCGTGGCGCTACCTTCTCGAAAAGCTTTCCCCATGGCCCTCTCCCCTCGACGAGGATCAACCCTACATATTGGTATTAATATTTCAATAAAAATATTTAATCAACTTTTTCTTAACAGTTTGTATCGTTATCAAAAGTTGGCCCTATTGTGCTAAGTGGAGATGTTAATGTCAATGTTCTAATTAAATCACTCAACCTTTCAATTAATTCAAAAATAAATCTAAATGTTTCAATATTAATTGAAGCAAAAAGTTTTTTAAATGTTGTAATCAACTTCTTCAAGAGTGAAATAGATGTTAATTTACGTTTGAAATTTTTATCTGAAAAATTTGTGTTACTAAGCAAGGAATGTCAAGATTTGGTGTTCAGTTGTTTAGATTTGGATATCGACTTAAAGATTCGATTTTTGAGTTTGATTGCATCTTCTAATCTGGTTAGTTTTAAAATATTATTGAAAACTAAGGCACATAGGGTCTCCATCCATCTAGAAGGGTCTCCATCCCCTACTGCCCGCAAAAGGCCATTCATACATAGATGAAGCGCTTAAATCTATCTAAATCAGACCTTTAACTGTGTCTAAAATTCCTTTATTTTCTATCTCATATGATGGTTTTCCTTAACTTTCTTGAACACGTCCAATCAAAGTATTTAGTCAAAAATACTTTTATTCAACTATTTTTTAATTATAGTTTTTTATTGTTTTCAGTGCATAAACAGCAACATTACCATTTCTATTCAAGCCGTTTCTGAAGATTTTGCCGAATGTTGTAAAATCGACCAGCACAACAACACAGATTTACTTATAGCCCTCGATGTTGATTTGTTTCCCTTACTCAATGCTGTCGAGAAATTATCATTTAAATCATTCAGAAATTCAATATTCAATTGCATACACAAATTAAATCCTCACAACCACAAAGCTGCCCTTCAATGTTGCCTTCCTTTTGCCAAAAATGTTGTTGTGAGCAAAATATTCTCGAAAGATTTGTTTGTGAAAATAATTCTTTGGCCAGTGTTTGTTGAAGTTAATGGCAATTTAGTTTTTAAAACACTCTGTGATTTTTGTGGAGCTTGTTAGTTAAATGAATTAATGAAGAGGCAATGAGGATAAACGATTTAATATTAATTGTCAACAACGCTTACAAAATTATATTTTATTTTCTATTTTCTAAAATAATTTGAAATCAACTTATTATTTTAAATTCTGTCACAAACTTTTTTATTGAAAATAAATTGCGGTTGTTGTAGATTTTGTTTTGGAAATTTTTAATTGTAAAATTAAAAATGCTTTGAGAAATTTTTAATTTTTAGCTACTTTAATTTTTAAATAGAAATTAAATTTTGTTTTAAATTAACAAAAGAATTCTAAATTGACATATGTATTAAGGGGAATGAGGACTTATCAAATTCTTCATTATTTCCTTTATTATCTTTCAAAAAGAGACGTATTCATTCCTCTCAAAATATTCATTCCTCTCAAAATATTCATTCCTCTCAAAATATTCATTCCTCTCAAAATATTCAAAAATAATAATCCTCATGGGAAACGCAAAAAGACCCTGTTCATCGATTATCGATAGTGAAATTGATAAAACACCGCTTTTATCAACCGAACAACTTGAACAAATTTCTCGCAATGTTGTCCAACTGTTAACACCAATAATTGAGACTACAATTAAAACATTATTCGAACAATTTCAGCAAAACTTTAGCAAAAAACAACTGCCATCCGAACCACAGCAAACAACATTTCGATGGGGTTGTCCCCCTAATTTAATGCCGCCGAAAATAAGACAAGCAGCATCCACAATTGAACTGCTTCAACAACCAAAATTTGATGAAAAATTAAAAGAGCTTTACGAAAAGAAGAGCTATTATGCGGTCATTGAAAGATTTCCAGAAATGGAAAACGAAGAAGAAGACATAAAAGCTATAGAGAAAAATGTCCAAGTAGTAGTAAACAACAAAAACTTTAAGGATACCAAAAATTTCGAAGTAAAAAGGCATGGCATCAAAAAACAGAACAACTACCACCGCATTATTAAAGTAAAATTTTCAACCCCATCAGCTGCACACTCGTTTATCAGTCTCTATAGAACAATACATCAACCGAAATTGGGTGGACATAGCCCTTTCGCAAGAAGGGACCTAACTCCACCGGAACTACAACTTCAAAATTATCTTAAACAGCAAGTCAAAGAAATTAACGAGAAGCATGGAAATGGCACGGCTAGTTATCGTAATCTTAAAATTTTTTATAAAAAGCAAGTGAACATGGACTAGGATATAGGGACCCCACAGATAATCAATCAGAAAAATAAGAAAAAATTTGAAAAATTAAATTGCTTACTATTAAATATACGCTCCATTAATTCAGAAAAAACCGCAAATAAATTATTTGAATTAGAAAATTATTTAATTAAAAATAATATTCATGTAGCTTTTTTAAGTGAGACATGGCTAACTGATAATACATCGAATGAATCCCTTCTCACTTCTGATAGTTACGACTTTTTGAGAGTAGATAGATTAAAAAAAAGAGGCGGGGGCGTAGGCGTAGTTTATAAAAAGGAAATAAAAATTATTAATATTCCGACACTTTCAATATCCGCATACAATCATGAACTCCTTACCTTCGATATTTACTCAGAATTTAAGAGAATTAGATTCCATTTAATATATAGGCCTCCAAATACAAAATTAGTCGATGATAAAAATTTTTGGGGATTAATAAAGAAAAAATACAAAAATGATCTCTCAACTATTATTTTAGGGGATTTAAACTTTCCGAAAATAAATTGGCAAGAGTTTACACTTCCGAAAGAAAATCAGAATTTATATTTCTACAATACCTTAAATAAGCTAAATTTAAATCAGATAATAAGAGAACCAACCATGTTTAACAATTCCCATACACTAGACCTTATCCTACAAAATAAGCAATTAATAGAAAAATACAAAATTATAGATGATTTAGTTTTGAGTGACCACAAAACGATAGTATTTGAAGTAACTTTTCCGATCGAAAAAGTAAACTCTAAAGAAAAAAGAAAAGTACTATTATTTAAGAAAGGAAAATATAAAACAATTAATTGGTATTTAGCCCAATATGATTGGTACAATATATTTAAGGACAAGAATCCCTCTGAAATTGCCGAAATACTAAATTCCATAATAACCCAAGTAATTCAAAAATTCATCCCATTAAAAAAATTGGGTGAAAAAACACCTATGAAATATCCTAAAGAAATTAGGGAAATAATCAAACAAAAAGCTTATGCTTGGAAAAAGCTAAAATTAGGGGAAATTAGTAAAGATAATTATAAGAGTCTTGAAATTAAATGTAAATTACAAATAGAAAAATATAAAAATAATTATTTATCCAAAAAAATAGGATCTGGTCATATAGGGGAAATACATAAATTAATGAAGAGAAATCGATATAAATTCTCCGGTATACCTCCACTTAACGAATCTGAGGAAGGCGATCCCATAATATTAGACACAGACAAAGCAAATAAATTTAGAAATATTTTTGAAGAAATAGTTAGCGGAGGTAAAAACAATATACAAGCAAGCTTCGAAGCCAAAGATGGATATCAGAAAGAAATCATTTTTGAACCTTATATAATAGAAAAACTACTAAAAAAACTCCCAAATAAATTATCCCATAGTCCTGAGAATATCAATCAATATTTTCTAAAAAAATGTGCTACACCCTTAGCTCTTCCTCTCTCTATTTTATATGAAAATACATTCAAAACAGGAATAGTCCCTGAATTATGGAAAACAGCTCACATTCTACCGATATTTAAAAAGAAGGGTTCAGTAAACGACCCAAAAAATTACAGACCAATCGCATTAACATCCCCGACTTGTAGAGTTTTTGAGCGCATAATAGCAAATAACATCTTAGAACACCTATATAAACATAAATTAATTGCTGAAGAGCAATTTGGATTTCTACCTAAAAGCTCTTGTACACTTCAAATTTTATCATCTATGCAAGATTGGTATAATTCACTTGATAGGAAGATAGGTACGGACGTTATATATTTTGACTTTGAGAAAGCCTTTGATAAGGTAGATCACCAAATACTTATAAGAAAATTACAAGAAATAAAAATAGATAGCTTAACAATTAGATGGATAGCAAATTTTCTCTCTAATCGATCCCATATTGTAAAAATAGATGATCATTTCTCTGAACCATTTCTGCCAAAAACAGGAGTTCCCCAAGGAACTGTATTAGGACCATTGCTGTTCCTGATATATATAAATGACCTACCCAAACATATCCCAAAAAACATAAAAGTAAAATTATATGCAGATGACTTTAAGCTCTATTCGGAAATTAATACAGAAAAAGATTGTATAGAGCTCCAAGGAGCTATAAACAATGCATATATATGGGCAAAAAATAATAGACTGGACTTCTCTATCTCAAAGGTTAAGGTTTTAAAAATATACAACAAAATTAAGTATAGCTATGAGATTAACGGTGACAAAATCGAAGAAGTTAATAACATAAGAGATTTAGGAGTATACATAGATAACAAACTTAAATTTGACCAACATGTAGCAAAAATCACTAAATCCTCATTTATAAGACTAAATAATATTCTAAGAATATTACCTAAAACATTACCAATAGATACATATGTAAAGGCATTTAAAACATACGTAAGGCCAATTATGGAGTATTCCACTGAAAGTTTTAGCCCTAAACTAGAATATCTTAATAGCCAATTAGAAAGACCTCAACGAAGCTTTACAAGGAAAATTTTAAGATATAAATTCAAATACCAAAAAATAGGATATACCGAAAGACTAAAAAGATGTAAACTCCCTCCAACTAAAATCCGTCGCATAAGAACAGATCTTATGACAACCTTCAAAATAATAAATGGTTTCTATAAAATAAAACCAGAACAAATGTTCTCTAAACCAAATAGAAATAATCTGCGCTTGCATAGATATCAAATATTTAAAAAACAAACTAAGAATAATCATTTCTTTTCACATAGAGTCATAGATAGATGGAATAAACTTCCAAAAAATGAAATTGAAAAAATTAGTACTATTCCTCAATTTAAAAAATTTATAGACAATATATTAATCACAGAAGACCCTAATTTATGAGTAACGAATTAATGGAGTGTAAAATAACAAAATCCTAGCCTAAATGTTCACTTTCTTTTTAACATACTTACCTTTTAAATAAAATTAATTTTGGTACAAATATTTTTTTTACTTAAATTATACCTACATATATATTTTTTGATATTCGCTTTTATTTATTTTTTTTACATTTTTTTTTTCTTGTGGAGTCCATTTATATATATACTTTTTTTTAATTTAACATTTTAAACTGTAAAATTGTAATTGATTTTTATTGTAAGTTACCTCTCCATAAGTGATCCTTGTGGATCCAGGAGTTTTATTTTATTGTTTCACATTCATTTATTTGTGTTCGATAAAGAAAAAAAAAAAAAAATATTCTCGAAAGATTTGTTTGTGAAAATAATTCTTTGGCCAGTGTTTGTTGAAGTTAATGGCAATTTAGTTTTTAAAACACTCTGTGATTTTTGTGGAGCTTGTTAGTTAAATGAATTAATGAAGAGGCAATGAGGATAAACGATTTAATATTAATTGTCAACAACGCTTACAAAATTATATTTTATTTTCTATTTTCTAAAATAATTTGAAATCAACTTATTATTTTAAATTCTGTCACAAACTTTTTTATTGAAAATAAATTGCGGTTGTTGTAGATTTTGTTTTGGAAATTTTTAATTGTAAAATTAAAAATGCTTTGAGAAATTTTTAATTTTTAGCTACTTTAATTTTTAAATAGAAATTAAATTTTGTTTTAAATTAACAAAAGAATTCTAAATTGACATATGTATTAAGGGGAATGAGGACTTATCAAATTCTTCATTATTTCCTTTATTATCTTTCAAAAAGAGACGTGCCACTTAAAAATCTCTCAAAAAAATATTTCTAACTGCAAAAATGATGAAATATTTTATCATGGTTAGGGAAGAAATTTAGAAATATTTTAAGTTGACAGTTTTTTTCCTTTTTGTTTAAGGGTTAAAATTTATAAAGAGACATTAACAAAAGAAATTCTTATCAAATTTCTGTTATCATTTTCTTCATTTTCTATAAAATTTTGCCAGAATTCTTCAAAATAGGGGTAATAGAAGGTTTATATTTCACTCCAAGTCTAAGCTTTCCAAAATTAATTTTGCAATTAAAATTTAAAGAATTTGTTGATGAAAGACAAATTTTTTTGTCGTTATTAGGCTTGATTTTCTTTGGTATTAATAATTCTTTTGTTAGTTCAATTAAATTGATGTTTTTACTAAATTTGTTAATTACTTGTTCTCCTATATTTTTGCATACTTTTTCGGTAAAATTATTTAAATCTTCGTTTTTTATATTTTTTGAAATATCATCAAAACCCTGTGAATTAATTAATAAAACAAAGCCTTAGTGAAATAATAAAAAAATCCCTCCTTAAAAATCCCTCCTGCTCATCACTTAAGGCGCACAGAATATATATTCGGGATAAAAGACTAACGAATTAAAATAGCAAAATGTCTTAGGCATCAGACCCGGATTGACTGTATATAGCAAAAATCAAGTGTTTTGTGTAAAGTTTTATAAAGGGTTCTGTCCTTTATGTTTATGAATTGTTTGTCGATTAACGCTAGCCTAAAAAGTTTTTTCCCTCTAGAAATATTAATAATTCCTAAAGAAAAAAAATTAAAAATATATTTGAGGGATATTATGCTTCCTCAAAAGAATTTATTTCAAACATTTATTAAATTTTCCATCAAATGTTTCGGGATAACATGTTTGCGCACATGCTCCCCATGAAATTGATATTCAGTATAACAAGCATAACGATTCTCTCGTAATAGCCATTTGTTACTAACGAAAATTGTTGCACCTTCGATAAATGTAAGGAAAAATTTTATTGCGACGCTTGGACGTTTGCTAAACCTAAAAAATGAATATTTTATTTAATTAAATTTTTATCCCAAAAGTTTTCGCTGATACACATGTCAATCATATTTAACACACATCTCAGTTATATTCCGCATACCATTCGAAAGCTCGATTCGTATCTCTTTTGACATGTTTCAACGTTTTTTAAAAAACTTCAAAATCTCTGAGATATACGCGGATAAAGAAGATGTTTTTTCAAATGTTTTACAGACTAAGATCTGCTCTTTACTCCATAACTTACTCTAAAGTAAACATCAATTCTGGGCCAGTCTTCAAATCTGGTGCTTTAGGTATAATTAAACTAATATGCAGAATTGGACTTTCAAAACGAGGCTTAAGCCACGGAGAAGGTTTATCTTCTAAAGTCTTTCTAATCTCCTCAATTTCGTCTTTTTCTAATGCAGCATTAGCACCGCCATTATTAGTTCCTCCAGAAACATAAACTTAAAAAAATATTTAAATAATAAATGTTCGGAAATTATGTTTTGTAGTTTTTGATTAATTGGTTAAATCCTAAATGAAATTAAAATAAAATATAAAGGATGTACTTTTCATAACGGATATTTTTGGTTTAGTATCTATTAGTGTTTCACCGGAACCGAAATTTTGACCGGAACCGGAACCGGATCCAATTTAAGTTCCGGTTCCCGGAACCGGAACCGGAACTTTTCTAAGTTCCGGCCCGGAACCGGAACCGGAACTTTAAAAAATTTTTTTTGCTAGCAAATTTTAAAAAAATTTGCATTTTGATTTGGGTTGTAGGTTTCACCAAATTTTTCGGTTAACCAAAACCGAACCGTCTAACCGAATAGAAACTTGGTTAACCAAAACCGAGCCGAAAATTTGTCGTCGTTAAGTGATATATGTGGATTAGAGAGTGGTGTATAAACGGATTTGTCGGATATAACTGTTTGATATCGGGCGATAAAAAGGTTCTGAATTGCAAGAAAATCCCATATCTACCTACTCAATTTCTCGATATCACACCCAAATCCACGATATTACCTATGACCGTTTGAAATCATGATATAACTCAAAATCCAAATTAATCCATCCAAATCCTCCGATATGACATTCAACTTCTTTTTCAGCGCCGCAGGCGAAATTTTTGAAAATTTATGAAGGCCATAAGCAAAAAAATTCACTATTTATAAGTCAAACTAAAAATTTTAAGAAATTTAGAGGGCCAAAAACTACAATTACTCCATGTAAAAATAAAATAATTTTAAAAACAAAATTATAGTAAACTTATAAAATAAGTTTTTAAGGAAAGAAAAACATGCAAATTAATTGTCGTATGCCTCGGAAGCGAACCCATCTCTAAATCATTCACGCCAAGGGTGAAGTCTAACACCTTAACCACTCAGCCACCCGCTTATATTAGGTCAATTGACAGAAAATAAACATATTTCTTTCTATTTTTTTTAATACACAAGCATGAGAGTACGAGTAGTTTATTAATTTTTCTAAAAAAATCAATCTTTAGGAGTGTAAAAAAGTTCCGGTTTGCCCGGAACCGATTTGAAAACCGGAGCCGGAACCGGAACCGGAACCAATTTGAGTTCCGGTTCCCGGAACCGGAACCGGAACCAAAAAAACACCGGAACTTTCCGGAACCGGAACCGGAACCGGAACTTCCGGTGAAACTCTAGTATCTATTCAATAATTTTTTAAATAAAAAGTCTAGTAATTATGTCGAAAAATTAAATAAGTTTGTCTAGAAAATTTAAGAGATCTTCAAAGGAAAAAAATTTACTTCCTTCAACAACAATTCCAGAAAATTTTTCTTATAGGTCAAATGTTTTTATTAAAATTTTACTAATTTTTTCTATAATAACAAGCAAGTTTCTAGTAAATAAAAATAAAAATATTTTTTAAACATTAATTTCAAATTAATTGGACAACCACAGCATTGAAAAATATAAAAAAGATTAAATAACCTAATGCAGGGCTCCGATTCGTACTTTTTTAAAAGTATTGTACTTTTTTATCGACTTTCGTACTTCCGAAATTGAATTTGTACTTTTTTGAAAGTATGTACTTTTTTATCAACATTTTTGAAAAAACGAAGAAATCTGGCTTAAGGACCTCCAAAATTCTCAAAATTTTCGCCTGCGGCGCAAAAAATGGAAGAAATCTGGCTTAAGGACCTCCAAAATTCTCAAAATTTTCGCCTGCGGCGCTGAAAAAGAAGAAATCTGGCTTCTTAGGCTCCAAATTTCAAAAAATTTTCGCCTGAGGCGCTTCTCAATGGCAAACATTCAATGGACGAAGATAAGAAACTCGCTTGAGGTTAAGACTGTCAGAGCTTTGCTTCATGTGACAGCAAATTTTGACATGTCATGCAATGAAATGCACAAAATGCTCAGTTGAAACAAGAAATTATTAGAAAAGATTAATTTAGGAGAGAAATATAAAAGATTTGATCACGAATAAATATTTTCAAATTTAATTTTGAGTGTACTTTTTATTTGCAAATTTTCTCCCTATGTACTTTTTTTACAAGATTTTGATACTTTTGAGTGGCATTTTGTCGATCGGAGCCCTGACCTAATGAATTAATAAAAAAATATTTTAAAAAATTATGAATGATGAAAGAGACCCTATGTTTAACAAAAAAACTTTTAAACAAAAACAATAATAATACCAACCTTTACCAACAATTAAAGAAACAAATAATAAATAAATAATTAAATAATACATCTCTTTCTTAATTAATAATTAATTAATTTATTTTTTTATTTTAAAATTAATTTAAAAATATTTTTAAACATTAAAAATAGTATTTTAATTTCAAAATAGTATGAGTAAAACATAATAATTTGCCCTCTCTTACTCATTTTTAATTCACATGTGAAGGGAATACATACATACATATGTCTAGGTCTAGGATAAATTATTTAATTTAAGTTAAAATTTTATATTTATAAGAGTCCCTAGAATCGATTCCGGCAAAATTCTATCTTCTTTTTAAAAAATAAATAAATCAGGACGAAATATTAATAAAAAAAATTTTTAATTTTATTTTTGTCTGCGAAATTAAATGTGGAAATTGGAACCGTTGAAAATTTTGTTTTGTAGTATATTTTTATTTTAATTATTTTCTAAATTATTTTGGTTGTATATTTTTAACAGAAGACAGGTTGAAATTCCGAGTTCAAAAAGTTTTTTAATTTCCACATTCCGATTCTTCCAATTATTAACATCTCCTTTGTTCTACCCACTATTTGGAAAACAAACTTTTTATATTTTTTATTCGGACTTTAGAATACTCAGTTCTTGAACGATTCTTTGAGGAATACTCCTACTCGAGCCGCTAGGAATCTAATTAAGCTGATCATCTAACTCCGAAAATGGCAAAAATAAATTCCTAGATGGATCCAACCATTAAATATTTACTTTTTAAAAAGATTTTTTCATTTCTTATGCATATTATTAATTAAATTCAAAAAAATTAATAAATTTCCACCTTTTCGTCTAGCATTTCATTAAATTCTTGATTTATTTGTTGATTTGTGTTGGAATACAAACAATTAATTTTTGATAATTTAAACAATTTTTCGTCCAAATTTTCAACAGTTTTTCTTAAAATTTTTACAGCTTGCTCAATAAAATCATTTTCTTCTTCAATTACTTGATTTATTATTATTTTATTTTTTGGCTCTTCTTTAAATTTAAAAATATTTAAATTTGGAAAGTATAATTGTTTGCAAATTGATACCTTTTAAATAAGAATATTTTGAATCTACATCTGTTTATGCGTCCTATCTGGGGTTATTTGTTTAATAAAATAAAAAATGGACAATTTAAGTGGCATCAAAGCATTAAATAATAATAGAACGCATACTGTAAACCTATATTAATTGCCCCCCCCCCTCGAATAATTACCTCAATTCCATTAATTACGAACAATTGATTGAAACAATAATTACTCCCTATCAATTGCCCTAAAACACGTTCAAACTTCAACCCTCGTATAATTACCCTCCCTCGATCAATTAATCCTTCCAGCGGAAGGTCGAAACAATAATTACCCGAGGTAGTTATTAAAGGATATACAGTAATCTGGATTAAGCATTATTTTTACACGGTCGAATCACATTTCCAATACACACACAAGTACTTTAAGATTAGAGCCTGGACCGATACAATTTTTTATCAAGATTTATCGTGAAACTATCTATCGATCCCTCTGTCCGGGCTCTATGTAAGATACATTTTTACAATTTGGTCGGCCAAAAGTTAGAACAATTTTCTGAGTAATATCCCCAATTTTAAATACACCTTATTATGCGATACAATTTTAACTCTTAATGAATATTTAAAAATGAGATTTGCCTGATTAATTTAAAAAATAATTTACTTTTTTAATTTTGTTGTTAATAAATTTATTATTTAAATTATCCTCTTCTAAAACAGCATTATCAATACAAACCAAAATAGCATTAACAAATAAAGGTTTTTCAATAATTTTAAAATAAGAAATACATTCTTGAGGTAATTTATTAATTAAATATTCCAATTTTTGTTTAAAAATAATATTTTCGTCTTTATTTTTAAAATTTTGTGGAGCTAATAAATTTTGTTTCTGATTTGATTGAGACATTAATTTACTTAATAAAATTTTATTTTTCTTGAAAATAATAAATTATAAATAAATTATGTAAATAAATTAAAAAATGGCTTGTTTTAATTCCGTTAAAAACTGAGAAAAAAATTAATTTTTAATTTAAACAAAGTTATAAAATAAACTAAATTTGTATGATTTTTTAAATTCTTCGACTTATGTAAATAATAAATATATTAATTTAAATAATTAACTAGTTAATTTTTAGAATTAATTAAAATAAAATTATGTTTAGGCTTTAATTAGATCGTTATGTGAAATAAGATCATAAAAATATTGGAGCCGATAAAAATATACTAGTTTATTTACTAATAAAAGATTTTTATATAGGTAAAAGATATTTAAAATATCTATCTATGAATATTATTCTTAATTTAATTCTTCAAGGTAATCCAGTAGGTAATCCAGTAGTTTTACCTAAACCGATATTTTGACCGAAACCGGAACCGGATCCAATTTGAATTCCGGATCCCGAAACCGGATCCAAAAAACACCGGAACTTTCAAGAATCGGAACAGGAACTTCCGGTGATACCCTATAATCCTGGTATTTTACAAGTTAAATATATTTGGTTATAAAAGTTTGTCCATTCTCAAGTAAAAAATATAAATAATGCTTTGTTTATAGTAAGAATAAATTTTTGAATAAAAAATTTCTTTAATTGGATTAGCTATTTTCTATTAATTGATTATATGCGTGCATTGGTTTTACACTTCCGCTATTATTTAAAAGGTATGTGGGTGTTTTTAATTCTGAGAAAGAATGATTTTAAATTGATTGTAAAAGAGAATGATTAAATAAAATATTTAGTAATTTTCTGGAGAATAAAAAAAATTTTTTTTAACAATTTTGTATTCTTTTAAGTATTTTTTCAAAATTCATTACTAAGCAATTTATTTAGCAAATTATTTATGAATGGATTTTAGGAACATTTTATTAAAGAATATTTTTAATTCATTTTCTCATAAATATTTTTTAAACTATTTTTCGACTCAACTTTTTTTAATTTTAACCAAGACCACTAAAAATGTCCGCCTAAACAAGAACTTCGACAATTTCAACCAAGAAACCTCCTAACTCCAACTTTTTCGCCCTCGAAGGATCTGGTAATAATTTATAGTTTGAAGAAAACAAATTGATCAATTTTTTCTAAAAAATTTCATAAAAATATTTTTTATTTGATAGAAAATAAAATTTTTTGATGTTTAATAGCTATTAAATATTAATTAAAATTAAATTGAAAAATATAAATATCTATTTTTATTTAAATATATTTTTTAAACTAAAGCTTTTCTCTAAATCCTCTTTTTCTTTTAATTAATTAACATCCACAAAATCCTGACAGATTCCCAAATTCAATAACTGTATTTATTTGAACAAACACGGGCCAAAGTATTATTTTGGAAAATAATTCTTTTGGAAGCAATTTATTTAACAAATTATTTTTAATAAAAGGAATGCAGCATTGATGGGCAGCTTTGTGGTTATGAGGATTTAATTTGTGTATGCAATTGAAGATTGAATTTCTGAATGATTTAAATGATAATTTCTCGACTGCATTAAGTAAAGGAGGCAAATCAACATCGAGGGCTATAAGTAAATCTGTGTTGTTGTGATGGTCGATTTTACAACATTCGGCAAAATCTTCAGAAACGGTTTGGGTAGAAATAGTAATATTGCTGTCTATGCACTAAAAACAATAAAAAATAAATTAATTTCTGTAAACTAATTAGACTCTTAAGGAGATCTTGCAGAACTTCTGTCGATGGATTTAGTGAACCAAGTATGGATCACTTATATAAACATCTATGATGTTTGGACATTATGATTAACTTAAAAATTCTAAACTCCTTCCCCACCAGTGGCTATTGAGGAATGGAAGGGACCTTCCGATGTGCCCTTCCCATCCTTGTAGTGTATTCCGCTATAAGTTAATAAAAGCTAAAGCGGCTGAGTAAAATTTTAGACTTCTATATTATGTTAAAATCTCTAAAAACTAACAAAGTCTGACAAGGCAATCACTTGATAAAAGAAAACTGTTGTGTCGATATCCACAATCAAAACCTTATAAAGCAAATCGTGGCAAGGTTTGCTCAATAATTCGAACTGCGCCGACACAAATTTAAAACGCAGAAAAACATCTATTTCACTCTTGAAGAAGTTGATTAAGACATTTACAAAATTTTTTGCTTCAATTAATATTGAGGCATTTACAGATATTTTAGAATTAATTGCAAGGTTGAGTGATTTAATCAGAATATTGACATTTACATTTCCATTTAGCACAATAGGGCCAATTTTAGAAAGTATGACATACTGTTAAGTGAAAATTGGGTATATTTAGTAAAATAATTTTCAGTAATAGCTGGACCCCTATGTTAGTTCGCAGCCAGTTAAATATCAGATTAACCCGCCACGAACATCTTAAAGGACCCATTGGCTCATTCATAATAATTTGACTATTAATTAATGTATCAATCCAATCCATATTTTTATGACCTACTAAATCACAGAATGTCAGGTATTCTTGTATCGTTCCAAATCCTTCTATCTGTGCATTAAATATTTCCTTTGCCAAGCAAGAAGATGCATTATTAGATAAAAAGCTTTTAAGAACAATTGCTATATAGGCATGTTTACGTTCAATTTTCCAGTCATCATCCAACTTAAAACATATTCTTTTGAAGAATTTAATCAAAAGTTGTAGTTGCAATATTTCTTTCGAATTACATTTACTAAAGGATATTGCACTTTCTAAGGCAATACTTAATTGCGATTTTCCTTCATTATCTAATGACTTTATTGCTGCTTCTAAATTTGCGGCATTAAATTCTAATCCAGCAAAAATAAATTCAAAAACTCGTCCAAATCCTTTAATTTCTTCCAAACAAATTAAAAGTTCAATGTCAGGGTTATTTAAGAAGAATAGCTTTAGTTTGAAAGCAATCTTTATCACTTTAACTTCTATACTTAATTTAACATCCAAAAGAATCGCCTCAATCTCGTTTATGCAAACATCAAATAATACCTTGAATTAAAAAAATTAAAAAAATATTTTTAACGAATACAATCGAATCCCGCTTTATGATGCCACCTTAGTATTAGGAGTACACCCTGGTGCCCTAAGTTAGGAGTATCGCTTCTCTTTTACAAAGGGGCCAACCAGCACTTTATTACTGTATCATAGCTAGAGTAATATCTAATTCAGATCCAATCTAAAATAGAGGTTTGATGTATATACAAATTACCTGTTGTTTAATATTCAAACGCAAAATTTTAATTCTTATAAGTTCTAATATTAGAATAGCTCGGCAAGGACGTTGATTTGTGAAATTTGTTTGTGGAACATTAGTTGACTCAGCGCTTTCCGGCGGTGGAGTATTTACTTGACAACCAATGTTTGTTTCAGTTGCCTCGCTAGATTCGTTGAATGCTTCATTAGATAAAGTAGTTCCTTCAACACTTGGAAAACATTCTAATATTATCTCAATGTTGCAGTTGTCCCCATTATTTTCACCTTTTCGGGGTGGGCAATGCTTTGCCATAATTACGCTAGAACTTAAAGCAAATGGCAAAAAATAGCTTAAAAAATTGCTGAATAACATTATTTTATTATAAATAAATTTTGTAGAGTTTAGAAATTATTCTGAAAAAAATTTTTTCCCCGTATTTTATATCATCTTATTATCATGCTCTTTTAATCAAAATTCGTCATTTTTAAAAATCATTTTCAAAAATATAAACAAAATTTGCATTTCTATACTTATTCGTCATGATTTTTAATTTTTAAAAATTTCTAAAAAAAAGTTTTGTTTGTATTTATTTTCTTTAATTTTAAAAATATAAACAAAATTATTTTTAAAATATTTTAATTTTTTTATTTTTGTTTTAAATTTGTCTTATTTGACTACGTATTTTGCATAATTTAAAAAACATTTAGTAACCCTTTTATTGTTTCGGCAACTTAATATATTAACTTTTTAAACTTATTTGTGAATTAGAGGTCGGAAAAATAAGTTTTTGCGTAAGTTTTAAAAAGTTTGCGGGAGTAACCCCGAAAAAACATTGTCAGCCCCGAAAGGGTGAAAATAATGGGGGCAACTGCAACTTTGAGATAATATTAGAATGTTTTCTGAATGTTGAAGGAACTACTCGAGTAAAATTAATAAAAATTCGGAGTAGGCATCCAACTAACTCCCGCAATATCTAAATAGAGAGATGTATTAATATAGTTAATAATAGTTGAGATATGTAGATATTTGTTCAGAAAAAAAAATATTAGACGAAAATTCAAGACAGGTAAATATTATAAACAGTAAATTCACGTTTATTTCACAGTTTTTTTAAATTTCTTAACTTTCTGCTTCGAAGTTTAAAGTAGAGACCGGACTGGAAGTATCTTAAAAGAATCGTACCAGATATGCCAAAAAATCTCTATCTCGATCCGGTCTCTGGTTGAAAGCATTTGTAGATTCCATTTCGACATATTTGTAGTCATATTTAGGAATTTTGAATAAATAAAAGTTTATTACATCATACTTGCCCTTTAATAAAAATATTTCTTAAAAATTCACATGTCGTCTGTATATTATGAAATTGTAATTATAAAATAAATTGTATACAAATTACATAATATAAACATATAATCTCTGTAAATATATTTCTCTAATAAATTTCATAAGAATGAGTTAATTAAAAGTTAAATAATATTTAATAGATTTAAAATTCATTGTTTTAATTAATTTAAAAATTTTTTAAAAATAATTTACAATTAAATTTTTATTAAATATTATAGTCGTTTGTGTTAACATAAAATAATGATGTTGCTAATAAAATCTTTGATTTTGGCAATTTTCCTTGTGTTTGGATTGAATGCTATTTTTGGAATGAAAAATTCAAAAATTAAATTAAAAAATGAAATTTTACACTTTGGTTTGTTTTTTATTTTTTGTAAATTTTAAAGGGAAATAAACATCCAATTGCTTAGTTTTCCACGAATAATTACACTTTTCAATTAATTACATAACTCGTAATGCGATAAATTGAAAAATAAATTATTTCAGTAGTAAGTACCGTATATCCTTTAATAACTACTCTGGGTAATTATTGTTTCGACCTTCCGCAGGAGGGAGTAATTAATCGAGGGAAGCAACTGTTATAGGGCATTTGTTCGGGGGTAATTATTGTTTCATCTTTCGCTGGATGGGGTAATTAATGGAAGTGAAGTAATTATTTGAGGGAGGGCAATTAATTCTTTTTTATTCTTTAAAAATTATGGTGGATTATCGAGGATTAAGTGAATTTCCCTAACTTTATGCGACAATGCCGCTAAAAATTTATTGCGCCGAAGCTCTAATGTAGACTGAAATATTTATGAAAAATAATGAAAATTTAAAAAAATGTAAATTAAAATCTTTTTAGGAATAAAAGAATCTGTAAATTTTGACGATTATTATGTTTATTTGATTTTTGAAGAAGAATCGGAGGATATTTTTTATAAAAATTATTTAAAAATTACTGCATTCATTGCTGATGTTGATATAAGTAAAATTCGTTCAAAAATTGAAGGATCATTAAAACATGCAGAAAAACAAGTAAAAAAATTGATAAAAAAGAAAAAAACAGAAAAAGACGGAAAACTACTTGCTGATAATTGTGCACAAATTAAAAAGTATTTGGAAGAGTATGATAGAATAAAGGTATTTACCTCGAGTAAAGATATTAAGAGATATATGGATCAGGGCTGGACGTAATTGAAAAGTTGTGTCCAGCCCTCATCTGGATTGGGGATAGAGGATTTGAGGGTTAATTTGCTATTAAGAGGGATTTGAGGGTTAATCCCTTGATATCCCTTTAGATCCCCTTAATCCCGATAAATCCACTTACCTATATTCTCCATGATCATTCGATCTCAAATCCTCATTAATCACTTCAAATCAAAAGAATATTTTTTTCAATTATATATTTCTCTAATACTTCTTCCACTTCCGTTCAATCCGTTTTTGGTTCTTCCGCCTTTTGTATCCATTTTTAATTTTATTCCATTTCCTTCCATCATCGTTTTTTAAAATTATTTTTAATCCGTATTGGTTAGTATCAAAATGCCTGGATTTTACAATTCGCTATTTGAGAATAAGTACCCAATAAATAAACGATCAAAATCTCCTTTCCTTTCTAATAAGACCGGGCAAATCAGTTTTTAGTTAGTTCCTTAATTGGAAGACTAGAGAGTGATTACTGTTTGGGAAAGTATAGGATCCATATATTTATTTTATTCAAAGATTTTACACAAAGTTTAGCCCTGGTTGTTAGATATCTAAAATTAAATATTTAAATTTAAAGGAAGTGTTTAAAAACGAAAATGCTGAAAATATTCACTTAGATGATCTGTATGAGTTAATTAAAATTTATTGGTTATTATCGAAAATAACCGATTGGGCAAGTATTATGGGAGAAGAAATACAAAAAAATTGAAACATTATAACAATAAAAATTATTCAAATGATCAGGATTATGAAATTCTTAATAATGCTTTAGCTGCTTTGAATTTTTCAGAAATTTTAAAATTAGTATCAGAAGAATTAGATGAGCATTATGAAAATAAAGAAAATGTATAGCATTTTAAATTCAAAAAATATTTCCAAGGATTCCTTTAAAAAATAATATATAGTTTCAAAATAGAAAACTATATGTATATATTTTAAATACCTGCAATTTTAAATGCCACAACTTCGGCACCAAATGGTATTTAAAATCGAGATCCGTAAGTTTTGGGTGAAGTTACAATGCGCTTATTTATGAATTCCGCTTTAAAATAAAAAGCCCGCTTTTTAAAGCGTTTGTATCTCTTGTATGTATTGTTACCACAGCGTTAAGACTATTTTAAATTTAAAAATAAATATAAGAAAATAGAGATAATTTATTTTCCTAATAGGCATCTTCTTCATCAACTTCTAAAAGTAAATTATATTTAAATTTGGATAAAATAAAATTTTATAAGAATGATAAAGAAATATTATTAAAAGTAAAGAATAGATTGCAGAAAGTTTTAGGCAATTATCTTCCAGTTTTCGAAGCACATAATCCAATTCTTTTTAGAATAGGTTAGTTATATTTTCAAGTAAATCTGATTTAGGCATATCAAAATTAGATAACCCAATTCTAGATACGTTTTTTAATTTGGTGGCACATGGTAGACGAGAGCTCCCTAAGCGATGCTCCCACTCATTTTTCTGTTAAAATTGAGGTCCTTTCGTATTGGCTTGTTAAAAGTAATTTCAAATAATCTTTCTGCCAACAGAATTATTATATATCCGAATTTACACATCTAACGCAGGATATCTCATTGTAATTATTTTCGAGAAAAAGCAGATAATTACTTCCTTCGCTATTATTCTCATACAGTGAGGAACTGAAGTTAGCGTATTTTATATCCATCTATTTGGACGCCCTGATAATTATCCAAAATAATTATTTAAATATTGTATGATGCTATTAAAGATATAATTGATAATGTCCAGCTTTACGAATTCTATACTGAAATGTTGTCCACAGAATTAGATACAGATAAAGGGTCAAAAAATTATTTGAAATTAGAACTTAGATATATTTTTGGATTTATTATGGATTTTATAATTGAAGAAAAGGATGAAATATTTAAAAATAATATTTTAAAAGGTTTATCATTTTATTGGAAAAATGAAGCATTGGAAAAAATGAAAACAGATGGTGGAAGAGTAATTATTGAATTAAATAATTATGCTTATGAATTAATTAAAACAAAAGGGGAAAATGATCCGTTAAAGGAACTTGCAAATTCTCTCAATTCTGAAGATTTACAATCAGGAAAATATGCTCTCAATTTTGAAGATTTACAATCAGCAAAATATGCAATAACAAAAAAATGCCCAAAAGATGTAATTAGAATGTACAATGAAAATGAAAATTTTAGACATTTTATGAGAAATACTAGAGGAGCTAGATATAATTTATTACAATATTTAATGCGGACAAGCCAATTTGTTGAAATTTTGTTGAATGAAAATGATCCAATTAGACCTTTGATAAAAATAGGTAAATAATTTAAATTGACATCTTTACTTTGATGTCAAAAAATTAAAATCAAAAAAATAAAGTGGGCAACAAATATTCATAAAATAAAGAAACCCAAACTCATATCACCAAATTCATGAATAGCTTATTTAATTATAATACCCATATTATTCCATTTCAATTTTTCCAATCCAACAATAATTGAGCTGTTAATCAGACGGTTCAGCTTATTTATCTTGGTCGGTTATAACTATTCAACTCTATTACATTGCCCTTGAAAATGTGTATCGTGAAATTAGTAGTGTTTCACCGGAACCGAAATTTTGACCGGAACCGGAACCGGAATTTAAAAAAAAATTTTCTTGCAAATTTTAAAAAATTTGTATTTTAAGTAGGGGTGTCGGTTTCGCCGAATTCTTCGATTAATCGAAACGAGCCGAATAACCGAACAGAAACTTTCGGTTAACCAAAACCGAACCTAAAAACCTAAAAG